AGGAGCCTGCTTCTCCCTCTAACCCTCCCCCCTCTCATGTACTCTCTCTCTCTCATTCTCGCTCTCTCAAATAAATAAATAAATCTTTAAAAAAAAATTAAGTGCTAGAAAGAATCTGGAACACTTGGAAATCTCAAAGATTATGAGGGGATCAAAAATGGCACACTTTGGAGAACAGTTTGGCAGTTTCTTAAAAAGCTAAATATTAACTAACCATTTGACCCATCAATACCACTCCTAGGTATTTACTATGTATAAATAAAAACACATATCCACACTAATACCTATAAACAAATGTTTATAGAAAATGTGGTATTTGCACATGATGGGATGTTATTCAGCCATAGAAAGAATGAAATCTTGCCATTTGCAATGACATGGATGGAGCTAGGAGTATAATGCTAAGGGAAATAAGTCACTCATATATGGAATTTAAGAAACAAAACAAATAAGCAAAGGGAAAAAGAGAAAGAGAGAGAGATAAACCAAGAAACAGACTCCTAACTATAGAGAACACACTGATGGTTACTAGAGAGCAGATGGGTGGGGGGATGGGTGAAACAGGTGCTGAGGATTAAGGAGTACACCTGTTGTAATGAGCACCAGGTGTTGTATGGAAGTGTTGAATCACTGTCTTGTACACCTGAAACTAATATAACAGTGTATGTTAACTGGAATTAAACTAAAACAAAACAAAAAAACCTTCAAAAATACTTCTATCTTTAAAAAATTTTAAAGTAAAAAAATTAAAAGGGGATGAAAAATAAATATGTAAGCAAACACTGAAACACAACAGAGTAAGTACTATACAAGGAGCCCTGCAAGTAAGAGCTTGTGACCCCAAAATTTTATACGCAGCTGTTTTACCAAAAGGCAGTAGAAAGAGGTCCTCAGAAGTGCAAGGACTCAGAAAAGAACTACCCAAGTACTTTTCCTGAATAAAATACCTGGGGTCCTGTGACAGAATAAAGAAATGCATGCAAAAAAAAGAACATCGATTCGTTATGTAACTGTTGTTCTGCACGATAGGATAAATGTGGCGACAGGGTCACCAACAGCACCTAAATTACTTTTGTGTATTAGAAGAGGGAATCTTCATCTTCCTCCCCCTTTCTTTCTCCAAAAGAAAACATCTACATGCAAAGGATGGAAGGAGTGAAGGAGGAAATCACGCTGTGGATGATCACAGAGAGATTCCGTGGGAATGCCCTGGGAGACAATCATATTGCACTCCTTCCTTTGCACAATGGGAAACAATTATCTTCCTGCCACCCACAACCATGTGTTTAATAGGATTTTAAGGAACACTTTTTAAGAAGTTAGCTAAGAAGTGTCATTGGATAGATATTAAAAACCCTTTGGAACATGCCTTATTTTTATTTGCTTTTTTTATGTTTGATTTTTATTTTATCAAAGAGGTATCTGTTGTTTAAAACAGTAAATGTAGGATGTTCATCAACTCAAGAAATATGTGTAATATTAACTAACGTTTTTCACGAATGGAGATGCCCCTGACAACATTATGGGTGTTACTACCTTCAGACATTACGGAAACTCTACAGTACTATGACACGGAAAATGAGCAGGAGTGTCCCCTGCTTACAGCACCTCATGGCCCAAATGCCTGCTTCCTGAAGGCAATGCCTTCCAGCTATTTCTTCTGCACCTATGACCCTCCCTATTTCCAAGTAACGTGCTTGTTTGTTATTTCTTGACTTTTTCCAATTTTAGATATTATTTGCCGACTTGCCAGTACAGAAGACTAGATTAAGATGGTCCCCATGCTCACACTCATACACACTCACACACAAACACACACCCACAGCCACACACTCCCCTGTTCTTCCATTATAGATGTAAGCATTATTCAGAGCACCATAAATGCAAACTGTTACTCACAGCTGAGCCACACGTGCACAATCGTTACCTTTCTTTTCGGACACAACTTTTGTGTTTTCCCAAAGTTAACGCTCATCTTGTTTTTTCATCCTCTCAGGCCTCCCCTGCTGCCAGCCTAAGCTTCAACTTTCTCCATCTGGATAAATCGACGGGCCATCTGTTTTCTAGATTTTAAAATTTTGTTGCTATCATATCCTCTCCTGTTCTCTGTCCGCGAAGCTTCAGGCAATTTTATCTCTTTCCCCTCTTTTGAGTGACATTCCAGAAAGCAGAGAAGGTAAACACACAGGTCCTGTTGACCACCGTGCTCAGCAGAGGCCCCTTCAGGGTCAGTAATGACGCCGAGAGACTCGTGTGGAAGGGGGCCAGTGCTCCCTGGCAAATCAGATAGCTTAAGGGGTCTTCCAATACCACCGAGGCGCCACCCACCAGGCCCTGCTCTTCCTGATGCGCTCAGATCCCATTTCTTTTGTAATTAGAGGAAAATATCTGTTCACTTAAACCACCAGTTGATTTAATGGATGCAAGGAGAAGGGAGAAGGCCCTCGGGCCTCACACCTACCTTCACGGCGCTGAAGCAGAATGCGTGGAGCAGGCCAGTGGCCGCGGCACTCCGGGCCACGCTGTAAATAGCCGATGTCATCCCACAAACAGCTGCAACACAAACACCAACAGTCTCACAATCAATACATGGAAGAAAGTGCAAAGACAAGGTTGTAGCTTTCGAGTGCAAAATGCCCGCCAAAGGGGCAAAGAATACTTCCATGGGATCAGTCAAAAGCACTGGATGACTTAATACAAGAAAGAAAAAAAAAAAGAGAGACTGACCATTTACTAAGTAAACTTCTGGAGAAAAGCACTGAAAAAGAATTTTTGGCAACATTCTTAGAAGACTGTGTGAACATGTCCAGCGTGGAGGGAGGGAGACCTCCTTGCTTTTGGTTGAGAGTTGCTGGCCGAAATAAACATCACAGATGAAGGTTCCCGCAGAAGAAAGCGGGGCTAGACAGAGAGAGAGCGATCTAACAAACAAGCAGTGCTCATTGTGTGTGTGCGTGTGTGTGCGTGTGTGTGCGTGTGTGTGTGTGATGAGACAGGAACAGTACCGGATCACCAGCTATGCTGTAGCTCTTTATGTACAATTTCATTTCATTCTTACAGCGACTCTGTGAGATCCGTGTGTTTATTTCATTTAGAGAAGAGTAAACTTTACAGTTAAGCAATCTGCACAAAGTCTGCAGGTAAGGATTAGGTGAGGTTTTAGCCACCATGGTGGGAATCTAAGGTGCTATGTCAAGGGAGGGTCCACACAGGGGGGAGACCAGGGTCCCCTGTCTGTCCAGGTGCACACAAGAAATAGCTCAGTGTTCAGGACAAAGAAAACCGAGCTGTCCAGACTCTCATTCCATTCAGCCCTTATCAAAACTTTAGACTCCTTTACAGGAAGAGTAGGATGTAGACGACTTACCAGAACCTCCAAAAAATAGCATGTCAATTTGTTCCAAAAGATAAATGCAGAAAGTGTTGATCTGCGGGAAGAGCCCGAGGAGGGAGATTGCAGGGAAGCAATATAAAAATACTGGAAGTGAACAGACAAAATGGACAGTAAGTGTGCAGCTGCTGGTCCCCAGGTCCCCGAGGCAATCCTGCCTGCTCCCCTTCCAGCTCTCAGCCGCCCCCTGCCCGCGTCCTGGAGGCAATACTGGACTCCTCGCACCCACAGGAGGAAGGTCTGCGGGCCAAGTGGAAATGCGCCATTGGAAGTAACAAGGAGCTGCGTCTGAGGAAGAGGCCCAGGCAAAGAACACAGGCGAGCCCAGGACTTAGCAGAGACCTCAGATGGTGAGGGAGACAGTGGACCAGTCCACAGTGTGCAAGAGTGGGCTTGCACTTGAGGGGCATAAGGGTGGGGGGAAGAAACTGGGAAACTCCAGGAACAGGTAAAGCTAAAGGCAATAGGTATGCAGGTCTCTCCCTGCACGGGGGTGGGGGGTGTAAAAATGGGAGCCAGGGGCTCCTCATTTTGTGCTTCTGTCAGCGGGAGCACTTGAGGTGCTGAGAGTCGCCACACCTGTACGCCGCCTGCAAATTCAAGTTCAGTGGGAACTCCAGGTTTGCAGGCGAACAGGGAGGGTGGTGATTAAGAAACTACACACAGTGACAGTGGGACAGTGAAGGGCCTGACTTCCTGGGACCGGAGCATCTGGGACATGAAGGCAACCCTGCCTGACCAGAGGAAGGCTGTGCCCCCTCCCAAAATTTGGAACAGTGCAACTCGATAAGACGTCCACATGCCAGGATTCGACGTTTCAGAGATCATTTGTTAGAGGAAATTGAATGTGCTAGAGCTGCATTTTACAGCTCTGTCCCTGTCCCTGTCTCTCCCTCAAGTCTATGTAAGTTGGATTTCATAGAAACCCAGAAACTGCCATTCCTTCTGCTGTAACACATCTGTCTTCTCAGTTTATTGAGGAGAATGTCAATGAAGTTTGATCCTGGTAAGCCCTAATAAAACTAAGGAAATTTGATTTGAAATCCCATATGCCTGAACTTTGGAATTGTGTGCTAACACTGTACATAGACCACAGTCGACAGTGGGAGTGGGGATGATGGGGGGGGAGGGGTTCAGCTATTTCTGAAAAATCAGAAATGCAAACTTTTCATCATGAAATTGTAGAAACGAGAGTCTTCATATGTCCCATGCTCCTGCTAATAGTCACCTGAAAATAAGTATGGGACAAACCCTTCCACAACAACACCAAGGACCTGTTCCAACTCTCTTGGGGTTGGAGCCATATTTTGATACACATGGTGATTTTGCTGTAATGTTTTCTGTGGCAAGATTTCAACGATATTGTAATAACCTAGAGCATCTGTGAGGAATCCACTTTTCAATCAAAGTAGGCAATAAGATACAAATACTGATCTGCTGGACATAATAGGACACAATTTCTTTTTTTCAGGTTTTGTGAATGGAAATCAGAGATAGGGGAAAGATGTAAGAAATAAATAGAAATTTGGAGCACTTGGTGGTCTCAGTGGTTTGGGCGGCCGACTCTTGGTTTCAGCTCAGGTCATGATCTCAAGATCCTGGGATCGAGCCCCATGTGGAGCTCCGCACTCAGCAAGGAGTCTGCTTTGGGATTCTCTCTCCTCCTCTCCCTCTGCCCCTACCCCCTGGCTCTTTCTCTCTCTCCCTAAAATAAATAAATAAATCTTTTATAAAAAGAAATTTAATTATAGAACACAGGAGCATCAAAATTGTATTCCCATATAATTTCAAGTAGACTGACTAGTACTTCTTCTCTCAACTTTGAGACTCAGACCCAGCAGGAAAGATGACATGCTGCACTATACTGTGGAGTACTCATGGCCAGGGTAGGGGTGCACAGAAGACGCTTTGAGGTTGCATTGGTTCACGTTCTCAAGAGCTGTGTGCATGTGGCAAAAATGACACCAAGAAGGAAGAACTCCAGGGAAAAGTATGGATGTCAAATAAAATTAAAGGCAGCTGAATATTAGAAACTGCTCAGCAAAGCAGAGGTAAGGAAGCGTTCTCTGTAAGAAATACATTAGGTAATGAAACCCCAGCTATGGAAGCGCAAAGAATCAGAGCCAGTGAATCATGGCTCGAGGACGATCCGACGGTGAGAGGCTTGAAGCATGGGAGCTCCCTGCAACTACAGTAGAAGGCAACAGTCACTGTGGAGCCCAGGATCTAGCTCCTCTCCAGGATGTATTAGAGAAGGAGATCTCTAGGCTTTAAAACCGAAGCCAGGGAGGTGGAAGGAGAGTGAGGCGGAGGCCACGCATCTCATCTGTCAGGCTGCAGATCACGTGAATAAAAAAGCAGGGAGGGGCACCTGGGTGGCTCAGATGGTTAAGCGTCTGCCTTCGGCTCAGGTCATGATCCCAGGGTCCTGGGATCGAGTCCCACATCGGGCTCCCT